AGTCAGTATCTTGTGCACAATACGTTTGTCTAATTAAACAGGTGGTGGGCAACGCATGGCTGGCTTAATTTTTCCATCTAGTCCAACGGCAGCCTGTCTCTTCACGCAAAGCAGAAACATCGGTGGGGGACCCCCTTATGCTGAAAGTAGGGAGAAAGGTTTTTGGAAGGATTCATCTGCTGACTCCAGCTCATCTGACCTTCAGGGATAGTTAGGGGAGCAGAAACTGTGGATTGTGAGAGAGGGAAGCACGTTCCCCGGCATATGGGGAACCCCTGAACACAGTGCCCAGCAACCTGGAGACTAAGAACAATGATGATAGTGCTGTCCCTTTTTGGGTGGCTTATCAGGCCCCACCTGCCCTAATGGTCCAGACAGAGAAATATAGGCAGACTTGCACCCAGAGGCACCAGGTCCAAGCCAGAGAGGAACTTTCTGTTGTTTCTGCTGACAGCCCTAGTAGCCATGGTGCCCCTGGTACCAAGCAACCCTCAGTATATAACATACTGAATGAAATGAACCCATTCTAGGCCCAGGTCTTTTGTTGGTGTTCTGTGTGCCATTGGACAACTCACTTTACCTCTCTGAACCTAAATTTCCCCATCAGCAAAGATAATAACCCTTATCTCCATTAAACTGTTTCAAAGAATAAAATGAGATAATGGCAATGAACCCACTGAGTGAGTGTCATAGCACTTAAAAAATGTAGGGCATGGTGGATCAGAAGACTGCTTCTGTATTTCTTTTCAAATACATCAGTAAAAAAAACCAACTGTCTCATTAACATTCACAATTCATTAGAGTCAATAATCTAAGTTGTAAAATTATACATTTTTCCATGAAATTCAGTAGTTATGTTCTCTCCTTATGAAAAAACACATTCTTAAATGCTATTATTTTTCCTAATTTGTTTTTCATGCAAAAAAGGAAAAGCTGTTCACCAACTGAATTAGACCCAAACTCTCAACTGCCCGCCCGGTACATAGTTCTGCATTCTGTGGCCATGAGGTGACAACATTGGCCCTCTGCTCCAAAAGTAAATTTAATGGGAACATTAGGTGATGCTGACCTCCTGGGATAACAACCCTCAAGAGTGGGGACTGCACATCTGGTGTGACAAGGCACATCACTGGTATGTTTGCACAAGCTGAGGAAGTAAGCACCTTCCATTAGGACATGCCACAAATGCCTCCAGATGAGAGGACACCTTGGCCGCAGGTGGAGGCAGAAAAAAATTCTGGATAGAATCCATCCATCGCAGCATGTGTCCCAAAAAGATTATTCTCCATCCAACACCCTGGATCTGGACAAACAAGTAATGTATTCAGTGGCCCTTTGTGATATCTGCCTCTTTCAGGAGCCATCTTTTCCAATAAACAGCCTCATACATCTCTCTAAGCACCTGCTGTCTTCCTGATCTGTCAGCATAAGCACCTGTGTAGACTTATACTTCCCAGTAGAGAACTATAGGGCTTGTCTGTAAGGATCAAGGAGAGGGAGTGTGTGTGTGTGTGTGTGTGTGTGTGTGTGTGTGTGTCCAGAAAGAGAGGCCAGAGTTGCTAGTATGGATCTTTCCAACTTAATTTTATAAGCATCTAAATAGGTTGGCTAACTGCAGTTCTCATGCTGTAAAACAGGATTGATGTGCAAAGATGGGGCCAGGAGAGGGCACACCTGGGAAGTGAGATCAGAACAGGGAAAGGAAGCAGATGCTAAGATATTTTAAAATCTACAACAGAATAGAAGGTGCCGAGTAACCTGGACTAAGTCCAGAATTTAGCTCTTTTTCAAGGGGCCCCTGAATTCATGCAGGTCAAGAGAGCACCAAGTGACAGTCTTCATCTTGGGACAAAAAAAAAAAAAAGTTCTGTATGAATGTGGAAAACTGAAGATCTAAAGAGGAAGAGTGGTTAGTGTGCTAAACCTGAAATTATACTGAGTGACCTGAAGCTGGATTGTTGCTAAAATTCATTTATTGCACCTATTTTAAAACTGCATGGATTTTGCTGTACACTAACCTGACAGGCAGCTGGTATGATTGCTTAGATAAGTGAGTGTTCTCAACTCTGGCTTTAGGGGTTGAAAATAACAATGCCCAAGCATTGTTCCAGATCAAAAAAATGGAATGTCAGGTGGAAGGCTTCAGAGATGTATAGTTTTAAAGGCTTTTTAGGTAGTTCCAATACACAGCCAGGGTTGAGAGAACTGTGTTAGGCCTAGATGGGAAAGATGCCCAAGGGAGCCAGAGAAAGGATTTCAAGTCCTGCGTATAACCTCAGTCCAGGAAAAAACAATTTTTTTCATTTATGCCTGGAAAATGCTAGAATATAAAAATCAAGGTAACAAGTGACATGATGGGCTTCTCACTGGGCTGTAATAATGAGTTCAGCTGGCTACAATCAATCAGAAACCAAACTTTGCAGACCTCTAAAATATTACCAGGACCAGACAAGCTGATAGATAAATCACACACTTAGTTGTGTGCTTTAGTCAAATAAAAAGGAATTGAAGGGGGAAAAAACCCCAGTCAAGATAGCTCAGGATTAGAAAGGCTTATGATAGATGTAAAGGGAACTTTCAAGGCATCCAGGGATCTGGACTCCCAGAACCAGAGCCACTTATGGACTATCTCAGTCATTTGATCTCCTTCATCTCTATTCCTCTCTGCATATCTACTTTTTCTTCAATTTCAAGTAGTTTCCTCTAGTTGTGCATTTCATATAAGGTCCTAGACAAGTTCTCTAGCTCTAATTTGTCACTATCAATCAGACCCAGAGTCCAACACTGACTGACAATTGTTATGATGTCTCTTAGTTCAGATTTTCAAGACAGAGGAATCTGGTAACTAGCAAAGGATGGCTTATTTTGTCTAATATCGGTTCAGGTGTCATTCACCTCCCATAAGTTAGACCAGGGATAGAAAATGACACGTGATTCACAGACTGAACATTGTAGGAGACCACTGGAAAGGCAGGCACTCATGTAGGAGCTATGGGCAAGGCATGCATTTAAATATATCTAATATCCATCCATAATCAAAGGACCACAAGTCTTTTTATCTTTTCCATCTTCTGCTCCTCAAGACATAGGTGGGTAAGGAGGAGATGGGGAAGAATTTGAAAGAATCTGCTCTTTCTGCTCTCAGAACCTGGTATGGCAATCTGAAAGAGATCACTGGTATGACTCAAAGACAGTTTAAAAACCCTCCACCTGCACTTATGTGCATGATTCTACATGAGCTGTCTCTCTGGAAACCATAAGAATTCTGTTCTTGGCAATGGTGAAAGCCCGAGGACCTCCAAACAGAGATCCTGTGGTGGATTCAGTTTTAATTCCATACTGTCTTCCACACTGTGACATGTAAAACTGGAACATATTTAGACATTAGGGAAAAGTCTCCTCCTCTTGGGCCTTTATCTGATCATTTGGAAAATTCTCAATTAATATGCTATTATTGTGGTTTGACAGATCACCTGAGAGTTATGAAATCAAATTCTTGGATCGTAGGTTTTGGATTCTTGAAAATGGTGGTATACTAATTGTTTAAACTCCTCAAATGGAGGAGTTTAAAAAATTAGGAGTTTATAGTCCAACACCAGCTACTGCAGGAAATAATTGAATTCTCTGTGCCTTTGTTCCTCTCTAGTTAATTTCAGTTGCACTAGGCATAGAGGCAAGAGTGGTCTGGGCTAGGAGGTCATGTTTAAAATGAACAGCCCAGGGTAACCCCATCCCCTAGCCCATGGACAATCTGAGTATCTTTTTTTTATTCCTCTTTTGGTCCTGGGGGCTAGAGGCAAAGTGAAGCCAGGGCAGACCATGTAGTCTCTGAAGACCGTGGCTATGGTGTTGGCATTGCCATAATCCAGTGTGTGATCATTTATCTTAGAGTGTTAGATGGAGTCAACTATTTTTGCTTTTGCCCAAGTACAGCTATTGGAGATTCTGGCTGATTGAAGAAGAATAAGACTAATACTTGTATTTTACTGACAAAACAAAACACCTTTAAACCAAAAGGATGATTTAGCTGGGCTGAAAATAAAACTCCTGCCTACTGAAGTCTGGTGCAGCTGAGTTATCACTATTTTCGTCCTATAATTTGTTTTATAGGGTACTAATTAACAGGGCAAAGTCTGTTGCCAGGAAAGTAAATCACATTTTGCTGTTTTCTTCTTTTCTAACAAGACACAGACCTTGTCTTTAATTAAAGAGCAAGTTCCAAGGGCACTATCCGCTACTGAAATTGGGAAGCATTGGACAAGAGAAGATCATGGTGAAACCTGCTGTGTAGGGTTCAAGAGAGACAAAGGGAGGAAAAGAGATTTCATGGGTTACCTGGAGTGGGGGGAGTTGCATTCCTCAAATGTCCTTTTTAAATCTGTCCTTTCTCTCCTTCCCACAACTCTGCATTTCTTACTTGACTTTCTTTAACTGATAAAACTACCATAAGCATCCTAAAATAAATAAATAAATAAATAAATAAAAGGTTTGCTTTTCCCAATTCATTTTTATCCCTCAAGTCGCACTATTTTTTTTCTTAAGGTAGTTACTCTCCCGTCAGACCCTTCTGTCCCAAACTCCCTGTCTCCAGGGTGGTTTCTTCTTCCTGGCTGCTCTGATCTTTGGCTTTGGGTTTTGTTGTGTGGCTGCTGCCACTCGCCCCTCATCCCTCTTCTCCCAGCTCACCCTCTTCTCCCGTCCTTAGGGTCTTCTTCACTCCTCTCTCCCTCTCCTCTCTCCCTCATCCCATCCTGGAGGCTGTGCGCTGGAGGAGGCAGCTCTGGCTTCTCCCTCCTTGAGCCCTGAGGTTTCTTTGCCCAGGGTGGGGAGGGGGACGAGGAGGGATAGACCAGTCTGGGATCCGGGGAAGAATAACTGTTGGCACCTCGAAGCCAGAAACCTGACGTCACCTTGCCCCGCCTGTCAATCTCCCGCGGGCGCACTGCTCGTAGCCGCCTTTTCTGCCACTGACTGTGCCTCTCACTCGCCGCCGCTCCAGCACAGCGACAAGGAGTCCCGCGCTCGTCTTCCTCGCCCGCCCAGGCCGCCTCCTGCGGGCAGCTGCTCGGTTAGCCCAGGGAGCCCAGCCGGGCATCCCGCCAAGGCGCGCATGACCAGCGACTTCCTGAAGCCGTGACTCCCCAGGTGAGCTTTGGGGCTGCCCGGGAGAACTTTGAGGGTTCGGGAAGGGGAAGAGGAAAAGGACAGCCCGGTAGTGGGTTCTTCCCGAAGCCAGAGAAAGAAGGGAAGCTCCACCACCCCTTTCTCGGCCCCTCGCTGATGTTTATTCCAGGGGTTTCTGTGCTCGAGGTCTCTCTGAACCTTGAGCTTGCAAACTTCGCTTTCAGCACCGCGGACAGCGACACGCCTCAGAACTAGGGGAAAATGCCTTGACCAAGCTTGCAACAGCCTGGGCGGGACAATTCCAAACTGATAGTTCTAGTTCCATGTATTTGGGTGCGTGTGCAAATGCAAGCCCACTTATGGGGTTGACCTGTGTGCATGACCTGTGTGTATATCTCTGCAAAAACTCAAGACAATTCAGGCAACCCGATGCATTTCACTCTCTCACACAACAGGTGTTTATTTTGGATTAGCACTTAACTTCTACTTCACCACTCTGCTCCAGGGTCCCGGGGTGGGGTAGGCAATTTGAGTGGGACAATGCTAGCGGGGCAACTGGCAGTCGGACCAGCACACCTGACACCTACTCTCCTTCTCTAAGCAGGGTGCTGCATCTGGCCGCGATGAACGCGAGCGCCGCCTCGCTCAACGAGTCTCAGGTGGTGGCAGTGGCGGCCGAAGGAGCAGCGGCGGCGGCCACAGCAGCAGCGGCTCCGGACACCGGCGAATGGGGGCCTCCTGCTGCGGCGGCGGCGCTGGGAGGCGGAAGCGGAGCTAACGGGTCGCTGGAGCTGTCCTCGCAGCTGCCGGCAGGGCCACCTGGATTGCTGCTTTCAGCAGTGAATCCATGGGACGTGCTGCTTTGCGTGTCGGGGACGGTGATCGCAGGCGAAAATGCGTTGGTAGTGGCGCTCATTGCGTCCACCCCAGCCCTGCGCACGCCCATGTTCGTGCTGGTAGGTAGTTTGGCCACCGCCGACCTGCTGGCAGGCTGTGGTCTCATCCTGCACTTTGTGTTCCAGTACGTGGTGCCCTCGGAGACTGTGAGCCTGCTCACCGTGGGCTTCCTTGTGGCCTCCTTCGCGGCCTCGGTCAGCAGTCTGCTAGCTATCACAGTGGACCGTTACCTGTCCCTCTACAACGCACTCACCTATTACTCGCGCCGGACACTGTTGGGCGTGCACCTCTTGCTTGCTGCTACCTGGACAGTGTCCCTAGGCCTCGGCTTACTGCCGGTGCTGGGCTGGAACTGCTTGGGCGAGCGGGCCTCCTGCAGCGTGGTGCGCCCGCTGACACGCAGCCACGTGGCACTGCTCTCAGCTGCCTTTTTTGCGGTCTTTGGCATCATGCTGCACCTGTACGTGCGTATCTGCCAAGTGGTCTGGCGCCACGCTCACCAGATAGCGCTGCAGCAGCACTGCCTGGCGCCGCCCCACCTCGCCGCCACCAGAAAGGGCGTGGGGACGCTGGCCGTAGTGCTTGGCACTTTCGGCGCCAGCTGGCTGCCCTTCGCCATCTATTGTGTGGTGGGCAGCCACGAGGACCCAGCCATCTACACCTACGCCACCCTGCTGCCCGCCACCTATAACTCCATGATCAATCCCATCATCTATGCCTTCCGCAACCAGGAGATCCAGCGCGCCTTGTGGCTCCTGTTCTGTGGCTGTTTCCAATCCAAAGTGCCCTTCCGCTCCAGGTCCCCCAGTGAGGTCTGAAGGGCTCCCTTCACATCCTTTCACCAACACCACACCCCCAACAAGCCAGCCTTTGGTGAGCTTCCTGGTGCCTGCTGATGAACTCGGAGACTCCAATAGTGTGAATCTGATTTTGCGGGGGTAAAAGAAAGGGACAAAACATAAATGCAACAAACTCACAAGGACAAAAGAGGCTTGTTGGCACTTTACATATACAGTGTATACATGTGTACATATATATACAAATATTTGTATCTTCTGGAGATGTTCAGGATGTGAGCTTCCTGTTCTGTGAAAAACTACCAAAAGACGTGGTTATATACTCGAAATGTACATCACATTTGTCAAGTGAAGACATTCCAATACTGCTTAATAATAGCACTTTATTTTCAGCTGCTGAACTGCCAAAACAGTGTTGCCATTTTCAAGGGCAGGGGGAAGGGAGTAAAAGGTGTATTTTTGTTGTATGTGATAGAATATTTTGCTGCACATGCATCAACAAATTTCAACATATTTTGTACACAAATAAACATATCATAAAAAAATGTAATTTGGGGTACATGATTGACTATGCAATTACTATTCAAGAGTCAAATTACATGTGCAATCTTAAAAATGAATAAATTCTTTACCACAGGATTCCAAGACATATACCTCATACCTTCATTGGGGATATGAAGGTGTGTTCAGCATTGCCTCTTGGACCACTATCGTCTTTCAAATAGGCCACTACCCCGATCCTTAAGAATTAAATATTCCCATTCCATCAGTGGGTGTGAGTCATGATTCCCACCCCATCCTACTTACAGGAAAATGGAAAGATAAATAAGAGAATATGTGTGTGTGTGTGTGTGTGTGTGTGGTCTGATCCCCTGTGAAGAAATATGTCCACAAGCTCCAGTAGTTAGTTACTCTTAGGAAAATATACACAGGCAAATTTGTTCATAAATTTCACACTTATTGAATGTCTACTATATGCTAGGCACAATTCCAGGGCTGAGGATGTGGAAATGAAGTAAACAAACAAAATGTCTCATGCTCATGATGTTACATTCTAGTGGGGGAGATGGCCTATAAGCAAATAAATAAATGTATAATGTCATGTTAGCATCAATGCTAAGAAGTAAAATAAAGTGGGGTAGAAGTGGAAAAAAGCAGGAGGTACTCTGTTGGTTAGGGTGATCAAGGAAGTCTCTCTGAGGAGAAAACACTTAGGAGGTAATCTTAGGGAAGCAAGGTTGTGAGAAAAATCAGAAGGTGGGAGAAGAGGTTTCCACATATAGGCAGCAGCAAGTGCCAAGATCTTAGGGGTATGAATATGCCTGGCAAGTTCAAGAGTAGCAAGATCAAAGACTGAAAAGTGAGCAAAGAAAAGAGAGGTATGAAACTACAGTGGAGAGAGAGCAAGCTTTGCAGGCCACTACAGGGACTTGGGCTTTTGCTCAAGTGATATGGACATGGCATGATCCAATACATATTTTTAAAGAATCACTCTGAGCCAGGCACTATGGGGCATGCCTGAAATCCTAGCCATTCACGAGGCTGAGGCAGGAGGATGAAAAGTCCAAGGCCAGCCTTAGCAATTAAGCAAGGCCTTAGGCAATTTAGTGAGACTCTGTCTCAAAATCAAAATTAAAAAGGGTCAGGGATGTGGCTCAGTGCTAAAATGCCCCTGGGTTCAATCACTGGTACCAATAAAATAAAATAAAATAAAGAATCACCCAGGCTGTATTATTGAAAACAGTCTCTAGGAGTTTCAGAGTGGATGCAGGGGGTAGAGGTCTATAACCACTATCCCCACAAGAAACGGCAATGAGTTGAAGCACAGCAGCAGTGGTGGAAATGGTGATGAGTGATTGGGTTTTAGAAATACATTCACGTATAGATGGACACAGGGCATGAATGAAGAAAGCTCAGAATAACACCAAGGATTTTGCCTAGAGCAAAATGTGAGTATGTGGGGTCTTTAGAGATCAAGAAAATCTGAGGGGAGAGGTTACATTGGAAAACATGATGATTGATTCTATGTCAACATGACTGGTCCATAGTGCGCCCAGATACTTTGTCACACATTTCTGGAAGGATGTTTTTGGATGAGATTAACATTTAAATTGGTGGATTGTGAATAAAGTAGATTGCTTTCCATCATGTGGGTGGGCTTCATGCAATAACTTCAGGGCCTGAATAGAACAAAAAGACAGGCCCCTCCTGAACAAGAGAGAATTCTCTAGTGGTTATCAGACTTCATATGCAACATTAGCTCCTTATGATTCCAGAGCAGAAAGCCTTGAGACTACACTGCAGCATCAATTCTCCTAGGTCTCCACAATGCAGATTTTGAACTTGTCAGCCTCTGTAATCATGCAAGACTTCCCTAAAATAAATTTCTACACACACACACACACACACACACACACACACTTTCGATGTATATATATACCCCATGTTGGTTTTGTTTCTCTGGAGAATTCAAATACAGAAAGGAAGGGAAAATTTAAAAGTTAGTTCTAAACTCCTAAATAGAGGGTACATGTGGGCAGTTTACTTGTTTATTTTATAAACACTTATATAACACCACTTGCCAGACATCGCTTTAAGTACTTAACAAACAATTCATTTAATCATCACAATGATCTTGAATTGATCAGGCCCCATCAAGAAACGAAGAGCTCAGCGGTAGAGCACTCACCTGGCATGTGTGAGGCCCTGGGTTTGATTCTCAGCACCACGTATAAATAAATGAATAAAATAAAGGGCCTTCAACAACTAGAAAATTTAAAAAAAAAGAAATGAAGAGCACACATTCAAAGCAGGTGAGTGAAGAGAATCTAACGAAGGGACTATGTAGACCAAGGTGGTATGACCATGGGAAAGGACTGTTAATAAAATTATGAGCATAGTTAAAGGAATCCAACAAGGGATAGCGAAGGTTCCCAACCACACACCCACAGAGCTAGCACTGCAGGACTGCCAAAAGGGAACTAAGGAAAGGACAGTTGCTGGAACCATGAGAGAGGGCTGTAGTGTTGGCTGCTCAGCAGGAGATGTGACCTTAGTAGAAAAAGCAGCAGCTGCCAGCCTGTGGCCTGACAGGGAGAGAGCTGGAGAGGAAATTACTGGAACACCAGCTTCCCTCTCCATCCCACCTCCTGATGGTGACTTCCATTAATTAATCAGAACCCAGAGAGCAAAAATTGGTACAGAGAATAGATGTCAGATTCCCTGGGAACCCAGCAGGTGAAAGTGGATCTGCCAGTGCACACAGAGACCATTTAGCACTAATTCTGTGAGCTGGGTACTATTATTATACCCAATATTCAGATGAGGAAACAGGCAAGGAGGCTAGCTATCTGAAGTTCAGGAGAGAGATCTAAAATGACAAATGAATTGGGGACTTGTCTACATACAGATGGTATTTAAAGCCATAGGTCTGTATGGAGTCTCCTCAGGAGTACTTGTGGACAGAGAAGAGAAGAGGGCCAAGAACTGAGCCCCAGCAAACTGAAGTGCTTAGAAATAAAGAAGACAGGAAGAGCATGCAAAGAAAAAATGAAGTGGTCAGTGAGATGGGAAGAAACCAAGGTAGCACAATGACCCAAAAGGAAAAAGAAAAAAAAATATTCAAAAAAGGAATCAAGTCAACTGGTCAAAATGGTGTTTGAGAAATCAAGTAAAACAAGGACTTAAAGTGACTAGAGATTTTATAATGTCAATGGCACTGGCGAACTTGACAAGAGAAGTTTCAGGAGAGGAAGAGGGGGAAAAAAACTTGACTATAGAAGTTACAAGAGAAAATGCTTGAGCAATCTAATTTCCAGTAGTTCACAGCACCACTTTGACCTTTTCAACACTGTAAAACACACTACAGTTTATAGATGTAGGGTTTTATAGTGTCTATAAATTCAGAGCTGGGAAGATTGGCATTATTGCCCATTCGTCAAATTAAAATTTTCTAAAGAATTAACCTTCACAGATTCTTGAGCATCATCAGACAGTATTTGAAGTCCTATTTGCATGTGGAATGAATTAAGTGGATTGAAACCCAACAGTTCTGGCTAACAACTTTCCCAAACGTGGTGGGGAAAACAGCATAATTTCAGAGGTGGAACAGAGAAGTCAATATTGTGGCACATTTTATAATTACAGAGAGAATTTTCCTGCAATCAGCACATTAAGAAACTGCAATGTGAGAATGAAAAGATACAGAACATGGATCTGACTTTAATCTACTTGGTATTACTATGCAGTATCAATGCCAGTCTAACCAAGAAGTTTGGGAGAGCCAAGGATAAAATGATGCTGAACACTCAGGATGTTAATAACCCTGAGTTGGCCAGGCTGTGTAATGCCAATAAAGTTTGCTGCTAATCATCATGGTAATGTGAGAGAATAAAACTGTGAGTAGGTCTGGAAACATTTCTATAGAGAAATGTTACCTATTCATTTGATCTGTCAAATATTAAGGATCTCCTATGGCGAGAGCCTTTGCAAGTTGCTAGAAACATAGTCTTTGAGAAAAATATCCAACATGAAAGCATTTAAGTATCTAACTACCTACCCGCCTTTTTGTTTAATGGACATCCTACACTTTATACTTCAAAGATGAGCCACTGATCTTTGATGTCCAAACCTACTCTTTGTCCCCTAATTACTATCTAAGTTAATGGCAATGTTACTGTTCTAGTTGTTCAGGCCAGAAACCCTGGAATCACCTTATCCATCTATTGCTCTCATACTTCATATCTACTGTGTCAGCAAGGCCTTCAAAATATACTCAGAATCTGGTCACTTCTCCCCCTCTGCACCACTATCATCATCTCCAGCCCAAATTACTGCAGTAGCTCCTACCTAGTCTCCCACTTGGGCTCTTGTGCCCTTCAGTCTACGTCTACACAGTGGCTCATCCCCACCAACAGTTGTTCCCTCGACTACTCTTCAGAGATGGGCATGAGCTCACCAGGAGTATAGTCTGTCTCAAAATTGGGAAGGAGGTCTATGAGTCCCTGGAAGTAGGCCTTAAGTTAGAATTTCTTGGCTGAAGATTTTGGGGATCCCAGGTATCTGATGCCTGGTCCAGAAGTGAGGACACAGACTCTTCACTCCAAGAGCAGAAGCACAGCTGGAGGAGGCCTACAGTAGAGACCTCTGGTGCATGAAGCCCAGGGCAGAGCCCCACTCTGTCAACAAACTTGGTAATGAGCTTAAAACAGCACACATTTATTCTCTTACAGTGGATGGAAATCAGAAGTCTGAAATGAATTTCACAGTGCCAAAATCAAGATGTCAGCAAGGCCATACTCCCTCCATAAATTCTTCATGGAGAATTTTTTTCCCAGTTTTTAGAGTTGCATTCCTTGCCTCATGGCTCCTTCCTCCATCTTCAAAGCCACGATGCCTTCTGTAGTCAAATGTCCCTGTGTCTCTCTCTTATAAAAACATTTGTATTCTGTTTAAGTCCTGCCTGGATAATCCATGATAACTTTTCCATCTCAATCATATCTGCAAAGCCCCTTTTGCCATAGGAGTAACAGACACAGCCTTGAAAGGAGTAATGACAACAGTCAACAATAAAGGTATGTACATGGTGGGAAAGGATCCTACTAGAAAGTCAGGAGAATATAGAAGACTCCACTGAGGAGACAACATTAAGCTGAGTCTTAAAGTACGAAATGAATTTGGAAAGCAAAAGACATTGAAGGAGGATGTTTTAGACCAAGAGGACAACATGAAACACAAAAGCATTGTCTCTTCAGAGAAGTTCAGGCCATTCAGTATGGCCAGAGTGTATATGATGTGGAGCTTAGAGAGGAGGTGGCAAGGGACAAATCTGGAAGAGAGGT